TGGCTTTGTACTTGGCCTGTCGTAGCCTCTCCAAAAGCGTGCGCAGGTGTTCCACACGCTCCTCCAAACTCCGGCTGTACACCAAGATATCGTCGAGATAGATAAGTACGTATCGATCCAGCATGTGTCGGAACTCCGTTGTCATAGCCGCTTGAAAAGTGGCTGGGGCATTCGTAAGGCCAAACGGCATGACCAGCACGTGGGCTAAGTACGTACCGTGTCTTGAACGCGGTCTTGTAGCGATCCTCCTTGCGAATCTCGAGTTGGTGGTACCCTGACTTGAGATCCAACTTAGAGAAAAACTGGGCGCCGCCCAATCACTCGAGAAGATCATCGATGTGTGGGAGAGGGCCGGCGTTACTGATCGTCTGCGCGTTGAGCTTGCGATAATCGATGCACAACCGCAGGTCCTTGTTCTTCTTCCGGACGAAGAGAATAGGAGCACCGTATGGTGATGAGCTAGGCCGAATCCTGCCTTTCTCCTGAAGGTCGTCGAGTTGTGCCCGAAGCACACTTAACTCTTCCTCGCTCATTCGGTAGATGCAACCGCGCGGAGGTACGGCCCCGTCCTCGAGGATGATCTCGTGGCGGATGGATCGATCCGGTACTACTCCGTGCGGGCCTTCGAACACTTCGGTATAGGCGTCGAGAAACTCGGTGATGCGTGGATCCGAAGGTGAGTCCGTCGATGAAGCGTCATGGAGCGGGAGGGCGTGGAGAAAACACACCCCCATCTCCTCGAATTCATCTTTGATGATGGAAGCTCACATGCTTGCGGCGGATACCACGTGGCAGCTGATCGAAGGATGAGGAAGAGGCACCGTGCATTGAACTAATACTCCGTTCCGGTCACGAACGTGAACGGTGCGGTTGAAGAAGTTCACCGGGTGATCCTTGCTTCGCAGCCATGACATGCCCAAGATCATGTCGAATTTGGTGTCCAAAATGTCAAAGGACACCGCCTCACTTGCGTGAGGGGCAAAGTACATTGGGAGGCTGTCAATGCACCGGTCGATTGACTTGTGCGTGTGACCATCCGCCAATGTGACTTGCATAGGCTTGGGCTTCCTCCGGACGCGTGGGCCAAGGCCGGCCCGCACCATGAAGTCCTGGCTGATGTAGTTGCGAGATGCTCCGCAATCGATCAAAGCGCTGCAGGTCGCTTCCCCGATCTGAATGCGTACATATAGCAATGGTGTGTCCATGTCGTCGTACCGTTGCATCTTGAACTCGCGGTCGATCTTCACTATGTAGACGTGAAGGTCGACAACCTCTACTCCGGCGTCCTTGAACGGAGTGGGTACTGCAGTGTGCAAGTAATCTCGCTGTTGTTCCACGAGCACGTTGCAATGCAATTTCGGCAATCGTTCGGTCGGGGGAACGGGCATCCACTGGAAGTCCGTGAACGTGAGTGGGTCGAGCACCTCAAGTGTTGACCATGACGATGAATCCCTGACGATAGATGGCGGCGAAGCTGCCGAATCGGTTGCCGATGGTGATGAAACCGTGCATCCGGTAGATAGTTGCACGTGGAGCGGTTGGTCCAGCGGTGGAACCAAGTGGACAGTATAGTCCTCGTAAGTGTAACGAGAGCATGCGACATTCGCATCCTCCTCAGATGTGCAGGAGGCCGCTAGCAAGGCGGCCGAATCTGGCGGAGTAGAAGGTGGAGTCGCYTCACCTTCCGCGGAGCTCAGTTTCCCGAGCTGGGGCAGGGCCGCACATCCTCCTTGCCCTGATCCTGGCCCAGAGAGGTCTTGTGCTTGGTGCTGTTGCACCAGTAGCAGCTGCCGTAGCGGCCGCGGACCTTGTACTCTGCCTCGGTCAAGCCAAACTTGATCCATGGAACTTGTACTGGCTGTCCATTTTCGGCCTGCGATGCGGATTTCGCCTTCCCATTGCTGCGGGACTTGTTGTTGCTTCGCGGCTGGACAGCAGCCACCTGATCTCCGTCACTTGATGCTGGAGTGGCTGCTGGGTTATCTCCACTGTCCCGCTGGACTGCAGCGAAGTGCTGTTGTCGCGGACCAGTTCGTACCTTCTCCACATAGGTCGGCTGCCATGTTGATCTCTCGTGTGCAGCTGACCTGTTGGTCTTGATGATCTCTCTCGCCTTGTCGATAATCTCGGCGAAAGTGGAGTACTGCTCGCGATCACCAAGAGCCTGGCTCAATGCAGCGCAGGATCTGTTGTAGAACTCACGTCTGAGATGAGTGAAAGGTAGCTTCAGATTGGGCACTGCCGCAATCTTCTGCCACTCCGTGAGCCAGTCCCGTGTTGCAGTGTTTCCCTGTGACATGGTGAACAGACGGTTGATGGCGAGTGTCGGCGCGTCGTCGACGATGAACCGCTTCTTCCACAGTCGTGTCAGTTCCTCCCATGTGATCTTGTCCTTCAAGTCTGGTACGTCGACGCCGTGGGAGGTTGCCAGGTGGCTCAACCAGGTCTGGCATCCGCCCTTTGAGTTCACGAACAGGGCGCCGATGTACGCATGCTTGGCTACGAGCAGAATCCTAAGTTGCGTTGTGAATGCTTCCCACCAGAGGACCGGATCGTGCTGCGTGTAGTCGTCGAACCTCTCCAGATTGAAAGTTGGCATCTTATACATCTTCGGATTGCCATCCGCGTTCGTCGTCTGCAGCTGCTAGACCTCGGTCTTCAATGTATGCAGCTGACTGCTGATGGTGGTGGTCGGCGCAGCGAAGGTGCTGATGTCGCCGAGCATTGCCACTACGTAGTCAACGCGGTCCTCCAGTTGGCGGCTAGAGGGTGCACTGCTGGAAGCCCCAGCAGCTGGGCTGGTCCTGGTACAGTCTGTTCCAGGTCCAGCAATCGGGCATTGAGTGCCCGAGTTGCATCCTCGTGGCTCTGCACTATGCGGCGGAGCTTCGCCAACTCCTGATGCTGTTGCGTCAGGTCCTGGTTCTGTCTCTCCAACTCTGACCGTTGGTAGTTGCAAGCGTACAACAACCTTGTCACGAGTTTGGAGAGGAACTCCTTGTGCTTTTCTTCCGGTGTTGCCTCGTCGCCGCTCGGTTTAAAGTGCCAGAACTTGAGTCTGTCGATGCTGTTGGCTTCATGCCGCTGCAGCAGATCCTGGGCTTCCTTCCGGCGAGCCTGGGCATCTGTGTCTGCATCGGCCTGTAGCTGCAGTTGCTCTGCTGCTGCTGCCTCTTCAGCCTGTACGCGGGTAGCCTCGGCTGCCAGCTGGCGTTGTTCCTCAGCCTCTAT